GCGTAGTAGACACCCCTCCTCATGCACGGATAGCATGCTCCTTATTAAGCAGTGCCCGAACTAGTACGTTGATGTGGGCCCCACACCCAAATACGGCACTTATATATTATGGGGGGCATTTGCATGTATTTTTTTTTTTAAAAAAAAAAAGAAAAGTACCGTTAAAAACCACTTTCAAATATATTGCTTGACTGCAGTGATCGATACTATCTCCCCTTGTTAGATAATTCATTAGTAAATATTAAGTAAATGAGTTAAGTTAATTATTTACAATAAATATATATTATTTTCTCTAAAATATCTTTATTAATTATGTGCGTTATAATAAGAACATTTTAACATGTGCAATCATTGTGAGAATTACTTTTGAAAAAAATAAATAAATATGGATTAAAAAGGTGAATTGGGATCTTATAATTAAGACCAAATTAAATTTTCAATTAGTTCTTATATTTAAGAGTAGAAATAGTTTTTTTTTTTGTTTTTTGCTATACTCTATTGTCTTTTTTCTTTTTTTCCTCAGCCAGCTCTGCTGTAAGTGGAAATTTCAAAGTGCCTCTAACCTAAAAGTGGAAATTTCGTATATAAGATGGATGAACTATCCATCTTATACCCTATAGATATAATACAACTTATAAATTTTATATCATACACAAATAAATATGCGTGTGGGTAGATATAATCTTTTTTTAAAAGTAAATACGTTTACTTAAGAAAAACCGTGAGAATATATATAAAATTGCTATGTTCTTACTACTTTCGGGGTAAAATTGCACGAGAAAAAACTTCCGAGTACTCACAGCTCTTTTAAAACTCTCAGTGCAAAAATATTGTTTAATCCTAAAATTAATTCGATTCCTAATCAAGAAAATAATTGTCTTAATTTGTTGATAGCAAGGCATTGTGTTGTTTTTTTCTTGGTTTACAGCAAGGCATAGTGTTGTTGTAATGAATAATAATTGAGTAATTTTTAAATGCTGTTTATTACAACTAGTTTGGAGTTTTCTGGTTTGGTGTTAGGGATGGGGAATTGCATATGCTGCGTTATTTCCGTTATTAATTTATAAACGAAATTCTAGATAACCAGGGCCTAGCGGCTGTTTGTGGTTTAACTTGTTGCTTGTGGTATATACTCATTTAATTCTATTTATTTTAAACACATGTTTCATTAGAATTTTAAAAAATTAAACTTTATTAACTTAGCAATAAAATTTAATCACTTTTCAATATTACTCCTGTTTAATATACTCCATTCGGTTCAAAATATAAGTATCAAATAACTTATTTACGTCTATCAAGAAATCAGTTTAAATTAGTTTAAAACAATAAACATGTAAGACACGTATTTTTTTCCAAATATATCCTTATTAATGAAAAGAATAAATAAAAAATAAAAATAAATGAAAAAAGGAAAGAAAATATGGGGGGCAAATGTGATGGCAGGGAGAGTGTGTCATAAATAAATTTACAGAGGGGCAAAATTGGAAAAAAAAACTTATTAAATAATTAGACGAACTGAAATGTATTATATATATATATATATATATATATATAAAGAAACCAAGCCCTTCTAACAAAATGGTGCTTGTATTCTGAGCCGGAGTGAGCACATGTTAAAATTTTAATAATGTAACTTATAAATAATATAAATTTTTTTTATCTATTTTATAAATAGCACTTAATAGCTTAGGAAAGGAGCAGATGAGAAAGGGAACAAACTAAATAGAAGTAAATCAAGCAGAAAAATTTGGCCGAAGAAAAAAAAATCAAGCAGAAAAAGAAATGACGAAGCAGTGCGAATAACGTTGAGGGAAAGGGCGCGTTGGCATACGTTCACATTAGTCATCTCTCTCTATCTTTTCGCCACTCATTCATGTCAATAACTTTACGTAAATTAAGAAAATTAACCATTTTTTAAATTCTAAAATTACTATAAATGAAAATTACTATTTAGAATAGTTTGTTTAATTACTTATAAAGTTTTATAATTTATTAGAAATACTAAATAAAAAACTATTACTTTTGACAAAATATGTTATATTAAGAAACATGTTGTAAGTTATTGTGATGGGCACGGGAAAGAATACACCTTAACAAATGTTACACGAATTTTCTAAAATATTGGAATAAAATGATAAATATTAATTGTCAAAAACCTATTAAACTGTTGTTACCAAAATTGATTTAAGATTTTAGTAATTTTAAGTTTTTTTTTGGTGAGATTTTCCTGTTTTTTAATACGGTTAAAACCACTTTCAATAATATTGTTTGAATGTGGTAAATCTTTTTTCAATATTCTATTTTCTGTTTCTTTCCTCAATCAGGTGTTGTTCTTCAGTTTTTAAGGTTTAATACAGCAATTTTTTAAATTGTTATTCCTTTTAATCAATGTGTTGTTTTTTTCTCTATCTCTTTTAAAAATATAAAGAGCGAAGTTCAAAGCGCCGCTTTTGTTTCATAAATGGATGCAGCTACCCTGCCCTCTCTTTTTGTTTGATGACCCTGTAAGCATTAAAAAAAATATTTTTACACAAATCGTAATAAAATTTTTCCTCACATGCTTTTGTACATTATAAAATTACTTCTAAAATGCTGCTTCAAACACCACTTTAAAACAAAGTAGAAGAAAAAGCAAAAGAGAGAGAGAGTTTCTAGAGAGAGAGTGTGTGAGCTTTTCAATGGATGCCACTGATGAAACTTTGAAGACACAGCCTTAGGATCGCCAGTCAATAGGTTTGGAGGTGAGAACTGAGTTGATAGAGGCATGGAGATCTAAGGAAGAAGTAGTAGGAAAGGAAGGAACCTCTCAAAAGGTCCAAAGAAATTCCGGGGAATTCTCAGGTGATGTATCCCTTCATCCACAACATGAAGAATGGATGGAAGCAGAGGAAGGAAACAAGAGAGGTGGAAATGTCTTATCCTATAGAGAAGAGCTCAAACCCAAATCCTTTACAGAGAAAGGAAAAGAACGCAACAAACAAAAGGAGGAGGAGGAATGGGATGGTAACTTGATGAGTTTTGACCCTGAGGAGATGGAAAAAGGTGTTACAGTCACAGATTCAAGACTAGGACCTCATATTTGAATTCTCAGAGGATGAAAGAAGAAGACTGGAGAAACGCTGGGAATATGCCTTAATAATCAAATTACTGGGGGAAACAGTCGGTTTCATGCAATTAAGAAGGAAGCTCAAATTAATGTGGGGGAAAACTGGACCAATAGACTTGTTAGACATCAGCAATGGGTACTTGATTGCAACGTTCAGAGAACCTGAAGATTACTTCTTTGCTCTGGAAGGAGGGCCGTGGCTAGTTAAGAACAGCTACCTGTCAATGCAAACATGGAAGCGAAACTTCAATGTGTGGAATGAGAAGATTAAAAATATAGCAGTTTGGGTTCGGTTACCAGGATTGCCAGGCGACTACTATGATAAAAAATTCTTTTATCATCTGGGAAACAGAATAGGGAAACCCATCAAGGTGGATGAAATGACACTAACAAGAGCAAGAATTAAATATGCCTGCATGTGTGTGGAAGTGGATTTGAACATGCCGCTACTCCCTTCATATACAGTCGATGGCAACAACTTGAAGATTGAATATGAAGGTTTAAATCCCATATGTCCCTATTGTGGGAAGTTTGGGCATGCTGCTGAAAACTACCCGATAAGTAAAGGGAAGGAAAGTGCTAAGAAGATGCAACAGATGAAGGAAACTGTACCTGAAACTGGAAAAGCCTTAAAGAGTGGAACTCAGAATTCAACTCTGGTGAAGAAAGATGGAGAATGGAAGGTAGTTCTAAAAACACAGCGTGGATGTTGAGGCACTCCTATGAAAGAAAGGATAGGGGAAGGCCAGAGCAGGGATACAGGGAGTACGAAACAGATTGGACAGGCTTTGAAATTTGCAATTTTGGATGCTAAGGAGACTAATGGAGCAGAGAGCAAAAAAATAGAAGAAACGAGAGGAATCCTACAGGATATTTCAAATCAGAAGGGAACAGAGGGAAGCCTAAAATTAAGAAACCAGGGATCAAGGAGACATAAGAGTGAGAAAGGAGAAAACTTGAAGCCGAAAAAGAAGAATGAGCAGTCCTTAATGAATGTGAAAAAGAGGACGACATTTAAGAGGGAAGAGAAAAAGGATAAGGGAAGGAAAGAAGAAGGTCTAAGTGTAGCAGAGAAAAAGTGTGATTTAAGGAGGAAAGAAAAGATAAAAGTGGGCCCAGGGATTGAGGAAGTTGATGGGCTACCTATAGAAAATTCAGAAGGGGACACAATGGGCCTGGAAAGAGTGGTAGTTGGGCCACAGAATGGAAATCAAATGGACCTTCCAGCGCAACAAGATCCGGGCCAGGGAGAAAACATTGAAGACACCTTCTTGGACTGTTTATCAGGCCAGAAGGATGAGACCATGAATGAGGAAGATTCCAAGCCTCTGAACCCTGGGGTGACTAAGAAGCTCTAAGAAATTTCAGAGGAGGGGACATTAAAAAAACAGCAGGAAAAAGAAGAGGAAAATACATTGACAAGTGTGGGGCCCGTGCTGACTAGTCAGACCTCATGAGGTATGGAGGAGAATTAATTGTTTAGAGGTCCTTCTACTGTCCTGTTTTTTGATGATTTTAGTTTGGAATGTGCGAGGAGCAGCCGGAAAAGATTTCGGTAATGCTTTAAAAGAGTTGAAAGCAAAATATAAACCTGAGATGATGATTTTAGTGGAAACGAGATGTAGTGGTAGTAAGGCCGAGGAAGTTATTAAAACGTTGGGTTTTAGAAACCAAATTGTTGAAGAAGCTAGAGGCTTATCCAGAGGCATTTGGATGCTGTGGATGATCATAATTTGCAAGTGTCGAAATTGGAAAGTAATTTTCAATTCATCCACTGCCAAGTAGTGCTGGAAAGTGGCTTACCTTGGTATTTCACTACAGTTTATGCTAGTCCCAAAGAAAATGAAAGAAGAGAACTCTGGGTTGGGTTGAGCGAAAAAGGATTGCATTGAATATGATTCAGCTGTGGTTACTTGCAGGTGACTTTAATGACATCAAATGTGAAGAAGAACAAAGAGGGGGTAGGTTGCCTAACCAAGCTAAGCTTAAGAGGTTCAGGGACAACATTGAGGATTGTAGACTCGTTGACCTTAACTCTAAAGGACCAAAATTTACTTGGAGGGGACCTGTAGTCAACTTTGCAGATAGACTTTATAAGAAGTTAGGCTGTGGGCTATGTAATTCTGAGCGCAAGAATCGATTCCTAGAAGCCTTTATGAAAGTGGGACCTAAAATACAATCTGACCATCATCCTCTCATTCTCCTCCTAAAAGGCCCGGAAGGGAGGAAAATTAATAGACCTTTCAAATTTGAGGCAATGTGGTTGAAACACAAAGATTTCAAAAGAGTGCTGAAGGATAATTGGCAAAGAAATGATGAAGTGTGGAATGATCTGGAAGAATTGGAACCAAAATTGAAGATTTGGAATCAGGAGGTGTTTGGTAACATCAAAAAACAGAAAAAGGAGATATTGAATAGAATTGCTGGGATTCAAAAAAGCTTACAAAGAAGTCAAAATCCATTCTTGGAAGACTTAGAGAGTGACCTAAGAGAGGAGCTTAGAGAAGTGCTTGAATGAGAAGAACTTTTCTGGTACCAAAAGGCTAGAACCGTGTGGTTAAGAGATGGAGATAGAAATACTAAATACTACCATACAAAAACTAATATAAGGAGAAGAAATAACAAGGTCTTGACACTGAAGGATTCAAATGGTAACTGGATGGAAGGAAAAGAGGAAACTGGACAGGTAGTCAATGAGTTCTTTCAATGTCTTTTTAAGGAAGAGGAAGGGTGCAGAACCTAGGTGAATATAGGGCACAGGTGGCCTCTAGTTCAAAAGGAGGAGTAGCAAAACTTATGTGCCCCCATCTCGAACGAGGAAATTAAAAATGCAATTTTTTCAATCGAGAGTATGAAGGCTCCTAGTAAAGATGGATTCCCAACGATCTTCTTCCAGAAAAACTAGGAAATAGTTGGAGAGAATGTTTGTAACTTAGTTAGAAAACTTTGGTAGCAATCAGAAAGTTTAATGATAGTTAATAAGACCTTGGTCACAATCATACCCAAAGTAGAAAATCCTGACAGGGTAAATTAGTTTAGACCTATCTCTTTGTGCAATGTGATTTATAAATGTGTCTCTAAGGTGATTGTGAAGAGATTGAAACGTATCATGACAAAAATTGTTTCCCCTTATCTAGTCAATTTCGTCCCGGGCAGAAACATACAGGACAACATCATAGTGGTCAATGAATTGATTCACACAATGAGAAGGAAAAGAGGAAGGAAAGGCTTTATGGCAATAAAAGTTGACCTTGAGAAAGCCTATGATAGGCTTAGCTGGCAGTTTATGAGAAGAGTGTTAGAGGAAATTCAATGTCCACAAGAAATGGTGAACCGAAGAATAAGATGTGTTGATACTACCTCCACTGCAATTCTGTGGCATGGTGAAAAACTGGAGGGTTTTTGGCCTATTAGAGGTTTAAGATAGGGCGATCTGATATCTCCTTGGCATGGAAAAACTCATACTTAATCCTAGATAGAGTGAGACCAAAAGACTAGAGAGGATTGAGAGTTGGTAGAAAGGGTCCTAAAATTTCTTATATGATGTTTGCTAATGATCTAATTCTCTTCGCAGAAGCAGAGCTAGATCAGATTGACTTTATTGTTAATGTTTTGCAGGAATTTAGGGAGATCTCTGGACATAAAGTGAGTAAAGAAAAGACTTGCATCTACTTTTCTCCAAATGTCAAGGCACAGACTCAACGGGCTATTTGTAGAAGACGTCAATTCAAGAAAGTAGAAGAGTTGGGCAGATAGTTGGGAGCTGATTTTAACCTACCCTAGACAGAGGAGGGAGAAATACACACTTTGACCCATCATGCACAGCCTGTCTCCGTGATTGCAGCCACAACGCTCGTATTCCTTTCCATGGTGAACATTCTCTGCTCCCCGATGGACATTCTCTATTCCTCCTCCTCAGGCTTCTCGCCTCGACTTCCTGTTCCAGTTAAATCTCCTTCCCTTCCGGCTACTGCCGAAAGAAGTACCTTCCTAACCCACTCTTGCCCCTGGCTTCTCAATTTACGGGGTTGCTCTAGCGAGCTTAGTATGATTTTGGCTATTCTCGATGATACGGTAGACTTCCACTACCTTATTGAAAACTTCTAGCTGTCTTGGGGCCACCTTCTCTCTCAATTCAGGCTTCAGCCCCTTGATCATCTTCTCTGTGAACCATCGTTCATCATTCATGTGTCTGAGATAAATAGAGTACCTGGATAACCTAATGTACCTTGTGAGGTACTCATCAAAGGGTTCGTTCGCTGCTTGCCTTATGCTGAGGAACTCTATTTCTTTCTTGTCCCTCACAGAACGGGAAAAATATTTCAAGAAAAACTAATCCTTATATACTTCCCATGTAACAGGGGTTTCGTTAGCCTAAAGGACCAACTCGATGTTTTTCCACCATCTGTCTGCCTCCCCTTCTAATTTATAAATCACCATCTAAGCCTTTCTCTTAGATGGACATTCCAGGATGTTGAAAATCCTTTCCAGCCAAGTTATCCAATCCCCAGCCACTTGCACATCAAAAGTTCCCTCGAAAGCAAGAGGGTTGTGTTTACCAAACTTAACAATCCACTATTGCAATGTATCAGGTTCTGCAGCAGGTTGAGGTCTCAAGGAGTAGTTTCTTGTGGTTACTGTGGTGATATGGGCTGGGCTGTCCCGACTATTCCTTGCTCGGGTTGCTGTAACTGTGCCAGTGTTGCTGCTACTGCTGTAGCTATAGCAGTGTCCCTCTCTTGTTCCTGCCTAACTTGTATGGCTTGTATCTCAGCCATATTCCTTTGCTGTTCCTCTAACCTTTTCATTATCTACTCAATCGAATCAACAGGGGGTCTTGACGACTCTCTCCTTGTACCAGGTCTCCTACCTCTTGATCCTCATCTTCTTCTTACCATTTTGTTCTTTTCGTCTCAACTACAAGAGGAACAGAATCATTAATTTACATAAACAATATCTATATTACCTTTTCAGCTTATATACAACAGCACAGTCAGTAAAAGGTTAGGTCACAGCCCACCATAGTTAGCATAGTATACATTCATCCTATATTTACAACCCAGCAGAGGAAGAGGGAAACAGAGTAACTACAAAAAGTTCTAAGTCGTCTAGCAGTTGATCAAAATCACTGGGCATAGAGGATTTGCAAAGCTGCCGGATCTGAGTCTGCCAAACTTGGGTGGTAGGTAATGTCTCTAGTAACACCCGGCACCATAAGGTGTCATCTACATGTTGACCTTCTTCAACTACTTCGTTATGTAGTAACCTTAAGTAATAGAAGTAGTCCTGGTAGACCGTGACGTACTGATTCTGAGTCGGATCTATGCGTCTACCGAGTTCAACGAATTCCTGAAAGAGACTGTTATGATCTTTAAATATCTTCTTTACTAACAGAGATCTCTTCTTGATTAGTAGATCCTTGGCTTTAATCTGCTCTGGCTTCACCATTAGGATAGGCACTGCCCTTATGGCACTGAGACCCACATCATCAGGATATGGCTAAGGTCTTATGGTGTTCTAAGCATCCCTTTTCTCAAGCCTTATAATATCATTAGAATTTTCCTCCGAAAATATATCCTCTATCTCCTAGAGAGGTTAGTAATATTTGGGCGGTAGACTCGGATCACCAGGGGCGGAAACATGTGGGTGGTACTAGTCTGGGTATGGTTCCCCCAACATCCTCTGGTTTACTGTTTTCCCGGAGTCATCACTACTACAACAGGTCATAACTCCCTGTACTCAACTTAATCTATAATATACCAATCCACCCCAGATATAATCCTAACTAGAAGCATTCAATCAAACAACCACAATCTATGCTTAACAATAACAGTCAGAATAGTGCTACTATCAAACACTATTCACATTCATTGCATAATTCACAATATAAAACAACCAGAACAGTGCAATTAAAATAGAGCCAAAACCAGGCTCTGATACCAAAAAGTGTCACACCTCTCTTTATAACCCATAATACGTCAATTGAAACATTATAATGTGTTTCGCAACGTTTCTGGATGAAAAACTTCACCTTTAAAAATTTGCCTTTAATTTTGTCCGTACACTGTCATCTGAAAATGGGCCAACTTTGAAAATTCATAACTAATTCTAGAAAAATTGAAACAAGTTGGTTCCAATTTTCACACAAAGCTTGCTAAGAGTTCTATAGGAAAAAAATATTCATTGGACCGAACTCCATCTGGAACAGTACCAAAAAATTCGACAAAGTGCACTGTTTATTTGATCAATTTTCCAATTTTTAGTATTTTTACCTAACTTTGGAAGGGCATAAATCTTAACAAAAAATCTCAATTTTTATGGTTTACCACTTGTTTTCAAGTTAAAAATGAGATCTATAAGCCTGTAAAATTTCATGCTCAAATTCTAACAACTGCTCATTATTTCATGTGCCACAATTTTGGCCTCTTTTAGGGAGTTTTTATCCCCTAATTCTATTTCCTTTAATTCTTTTCTCTTTTTCCTTTACCCACATCCTTTTGGCATCATACCATCCAAATTTCCAACACTAGGGCATGTCATATAAACATAATTCACATTACATATCATTCATAATTCATCATATTCTCAACATAAAATTCATTATTACATTTCATAGCATAACATAATAGCATCAATTCCAAAATGCTCCTCTATCCCAAAATCATTTCCTTGCCCTTGCCATTGGATGAATCATTCCCTATTTGAGACATAATTTAACATAGGGGGAATGAGATTTCAAAGAAATCCCTGTAGCATATGAATTATAATTGTTATGTAAATCAAGCAAGTTCACATGTGACATGTTATCAAACCTCAAGGCATAATCAAACCACATAAAATCATGCGTAATGCCATGCTAGGAAAGGAACATCAATACTTTCACATTAACACAATTCAATGTATTTTGCCAAAGCATAAACCAAGGTTATGCAGCCAATCAATATCATTGCACAAGTTCCTCAATCCAAGCAAACAACAAATCACATTAAATAAGCAAGATAAACAATCAAATTATAATTCAAAGCTACCTTTTTTAACACTTGTCCACTAGGTTACTTTAAGGGACAAAGCTTCCTCTTGGTTACTCCTCACAATGCCTATTAAACCAAGAATAAACATAAGCCACATTAATCACTAAACAACTTAATTACAACACTTTAATTTCAACTTAATAATTTCCCCCCTTTTTCTTTAATTTTTAACAAAATGATTCCTTCTTTAGAATCAATAACCTCATGACCCATTCCTACAAAATTTTTCATGAGGAATCCAATGGTGTAATCAGATTTTTGAAATTCAAACTCCTCTCCCATGAACAGTGACTGGCCGAATAGGGGCATATATCTCCAAAAATTCTATTTTTGATTCCAATAATTTTAAATACTTTCCAACAACATATCCCTACACAAAAACATATTTTAAAGCCATTGGAATTATCAAACCAAGCAAAATCAAATTCCTTCTGCATGAATAGTGGCAGACCGAAAATTCCTCCCTTAATCCTAATCTTGATTTCGT